CATCTTGGTTTTGGTGGGTTTTGGAGGGCTTTCTTATGACATCGGTTTTATCAGTAGGGCGGTTGTGACCTGTATCTTGTGCTGATCTCCTATCTCATCCTGTGACTAAGAATGCCTAGTCTCCTGGGAATGCAGCCCGGCAGGTCTCAGTCTCATTTTACCCCTATTTAAGATGGAATTGCTATGGTTCAAATGCCTCCAATAAATTCACTAATTTAATGCTCAAACAACCTATGGATGACACAGGTATTATTATTTTCTCCATTTTAGAGATGAAACAACTGATGCTTAAAGAGATTTATTAACTCGTACATAGCCAGGGTGTGCAATCTATAGCCTGAAGTTCAAATCCAGTTAAGTGCCTGTTTTTGTAAATAAAGTTTTGTTGGAACACAGCCATGCCCATTCATTACATATTACGTATTTATGGCTGTTTTCATGATACAGTGACTGAGTTGAGTAGTTGCATATGGCTTGCAAAGCTCAAAATACAGTTGGCCTTCCATATGTGAGGGCTCCACTTTCGTGGATTCAACCAACCAAGAATCAAAAATATTTGAAAATAAAAATAAAAAAGCAATACAATAAAATAATATAAATTTAAAACAATACAACACCATAACTCTTTGCATAGCATTTACATGGTATTAGGTATTATAAGTAATCCAGAGATGATTTAAAGTATACGAGAGGACGTGCATAGGTTATATGCAAGTACTGGGCCATTTTGTATCAGGGACTCGAGCATCCATGGATTTTATTACCCATGGGGTATCCTGGAAGGAATCCCCTATGCATATTGAAGGACAACTGTACTTACCATCCAGCCCTTTACAGAAAAAGTTTGCCCACCCTCACCCCTAGCAGTAGTAAGCGGCAGAGCCTGATTCCAAACCCAGGTTGTCTGACTCCAGAGACAACACTCATAACTCAGATATAAATAAACATTAGGTAGGCTTGGAACCCTGTTGGAATGTTATGAAACTTTTCTATTTCCATTTTCCTAATCATGTGTTTTTTTCATTTAAAAATTTCCTGATGTTTACTTCCAGCAATATGACAGACTCTATATCCTGAAAATTCTCCCCCAAAAAAGCACCTTTAAAATGCTGGATAAAATAAGTAGCTAACTTGGCAAGAAATTAAAGTATCTTAATCCCCAGAGGCCAAAAATGAAGTCGGAAGCCAGAATTCAGAATGAGCATGGTAAATGTTCACTGGAGCAGGCATCAGACCCTGAGGGCATTTGCCAGTGTTTTGTAAATTAGAACTTTCAGTTTTTACATCCATGTCGGGGGAAGGGGGGACAGGAGAGGCAGGCGACAAAGCAGTGCAGTGTCAGCATGGAGACTTTGGAATGAGTCCCCAAAGGCCCACATTCCCAATAAAAGAGTGAACTAGAAAATATTTGCCATGCAAAGGAAATAGCAAAGAAAATTTTGCATCTTAACCTTGATTTTGGTTGGAAGAAAAAATAAAAGTCCCTACCCCCTACCAGAAGTTATAATCACCAGTCAGGCCTCAAGTCTGGGTTCAAATTCACTCTGTGTACCTATTCTGAAACTATTTTAAATAAACAAACCAAAAAAAAAATTTTTTTAAATGACCAGGCACTTGGCAAAGGTAAACACAAATATAAGGAATGTTCTCCAATTCAAGCCTCATAAAATTCTCACAACTAGTGCCTCAACAAAAATGAGCTCACAATTTTTATAAAATCACAAGACCACCCATGTAGTAAGACATCATCAGACAGGGTTAGAAACATCAAACAGTAGAATCAGACATTCAGGCTTTGGGTTGGAATTATCACATAGAGCAAGGTTAGCAAACTTTTCTCTAAAAGGCCAGATAGTATACATTTTAGGCTTTGCAAGCCATACAGTCTCTGTCAAAAACACTGAGCCTTGCTATTCTAGTATAAAAGCAGCCATGGGCAGTATGCAAATGAATGGGCTTGCCTGTGTTTTAATAAAACTATATTTACAAAAACTGAGAGTGTGCCAGAAAACCATACCTTATAAATAAATATGTTTTCAATATTTAAAGAAAGCTTTAAAACATTAGCAAGGAACAAAATACTCTTAGAAACATCGAAAAAGATTCTTAACTTCTGAAAGTAAAATAGTTGAATTTTAAAATTCAGCATATGAGTTGACTAACAAATTAGAAATGAAATGTATAATTAATAAATTGAAAGTTGGATAAGACAAAACTACTTAGAATATAGTTCAGAGAGAGAAAGAGAAGGATATCATGATATAGACATGAAAGTAAGTGAGAAGTGTTAACATTCATCTAATGAAAGTTCCAGAAAGAGTGACTAGAGAAAATGAGATGGACACAATATTCAATCATTTGTGTGGTTCCTTATATTTAGGAAGTACAAAAAATTCTAAAGAATATTCACACCCAGACTTATCCTGGTGAAATGAAAGAACATTAAAGACAAATTTAATAGCTTAAAAACAGCTAGAGAAAAAGACAGCTTTCCTGTTTTACATCTAACTTCTTATGAACAGAGCAGAAAGCAAAAGATTACAAGATGATGTCTTCAAAGTGCTAGGAAAACTGTTTCAATTTACAATTGGATACCCAGTAAAACTTGTCTTTCATGAGGATGCAATAGAATATATTTAGGTGAACAAAAGCCAAGATAATTTACTATGGACAGATTCTTAGTAAAGGAACTTCCTCAGGATATATATACTTTGGAAAGAAGGATATATATACTCCTCCAGAAAGGAGATGTGAGCTGTAAGTTGTAAGAAAGATAACCATGTGATCAAAGACATTTGTAGTCACATGGATACATCTAAATAAATATCAACACTAATAAATCTGATTTGGGAAGTTATAAAAGTCAGAGGTTGGGAGAGATGAGCTTCTAAAGCAGAGGTCATATTCTATTTCTTAAAATGGTAAATATATGAATGTATGTGTGTGTGTGTGTGTGTGTGTGCGCAAACATGCACACACACACATGCATATTGTAAACTTTTCTATATATGACACATTTCACAAGATTTTTTAATAGAAAGAAAGTACTGGACAATACTAGCTTATAAACTGAGAAAGAGTTAAAATACTCTAAGTTTTAGGAGGAGGGTGAATCTAATTAATAACTTTAACCATTAAAAAATTAGAATCTATACATTCCAAAATATTAGAGGAGAAAAAAATGGAGTAGGAATTTCACCGACTAGAAAGTGTAAAAAGATGGTAAAAATAAATCCAAATATATCAATGATCATAATTAAATAAAAAAGAATTACACTTATCAGCTAAAAGATAGTTAATTTTTAAAAATCCAACCATATTCTTCTTACAAGAAACACATGTGAAACAGAAGTACATCAAATGTTTGAGAGTAAAATAATGGGAAAAGCTACATTAAGGGAAGTGAATTTTTCCAACAAGCAAAAAATAACTTCCTGTTTGCTTTCAGATGTAACCACTGAATCCTCATACAAAGGATATGTTAGTTTCATATATCATAATAAAACTAAGAAAAGAAATAAATGTAAAGAGAGAAATCAGGAAAAAAAAAAAAAAAACCTTAGGTTAAGGATTAATATTCTCTGACAAATCTAAAAATCTGAAAAAGCAGGTCCACCCGTGCTATACCCATGGAATTCAAACAAGCATTGATGGAAACCTAGGGCTGAATGGCATGAGTCAAGAGTAAATGTATCATTTCTCAAATTTGGGTCAAATTTCTTAATAATGGAGTTTACAAAATAAAATCAGATCACATTTCAAAATAACTTGCATTTGGAGACAAAAGATGCTGTGATCATTTTCAATCGTATTAATATTGCTCTTTGAAATGAATGAGACATTAAACACAAAGATTCTTAGAAAAAGTAAATACAAATATAATTTTGAGATGTGAATGAATTTGACTACTTTTAAGATTCAGGAACAAATATTTATGTATAAAGGTGGACAATTGCTGCATTAAAATAGAGGAAGGGCTAAAATGTGAAGCTTATGTATAACTAAATGATTTTATAGTTATTTTAGTGGCATAGGGAAATGTCCATGATATAATTAGTTAGCAAACAAAACCATATATGAAACTGTAGATTAACAATAAAAATATGTTTAAATGTCATCAAATGTGTTTAGAAACAGGACTGGGAAGAAAAACAACAGAACACTAAGAGTGGTGGGGAAATAAGTGATTTGTATTTTCTACTTTATACTGTATTTTCCAAGGCTTTTTTTTTTTTTAACAATGATCACTTTTATAATCAGATAACAGAATAATTTTATTTTCAATCTTTAGTATTTTGTGTGTTTACATATATTATGGTCCAGAATCCCAGTGAATGAAGATGTGAAAAATGAATTCTAGAAAGACGAAACATGACAAGACTTTAAAAGAATGTTTTAAGAGACAGAGAAATCACTAGCCTAATTGGTAGGTAACTTGATATAAAGTAACTTCTTCACTTCAGGTCTCAAGAATGTGCAGCAAAGTGAGTCCTAGAGGTTGCTATGGCAATGGAGGTAAACCTGATTAGGTCAGCTCTGCTTTCTAAGGTAAGACCAGGGAAAAGAACACAGAATTCTTTTTTCTTTTATTTTTTAGATGGAGTCTTGCTCTGTCTCCCAGGCTGGAGTGCTGTGGGGCAATCTTGGCTCACTGCAACCTCCGCCTCCTGGGTTCAAGCGATCCTCCTGCCTCAGCCTCCCAAGTAGCTGGGTCTACGGGCACCTGCCCCACCACGCCCAGCTAATTTTGTATTTTAGTACAGACAAGGTATCATGATGTTGGCCAGGCTGGTCTCGAACTCCCAACCTCAGGCGATCCACCCACCTTGGCCTCCCAAAGAGCTGGATTACAGACATGAGCCACTGCGCCCAGCCTAGGATTCTTGAATCAGACAAATCCCCACTCTGTGCCTCTATCGTCTCTCCGCTCCCTTCTCTTTTCCCTCATTTGTCCCTCTTGCCTCCCCAGTTCTCTCCTTTTCCCATCTTTTCCTCCCCACCTCTTAGCCTCCACTGCACTTGACACCATCAGACTGTGTTCTTCCTGATTGCCCTCCTTTTTGGGCCTCCAGCAGGTGCTGCATTTTCCTGAGTGCCTTCTTCACCGGACGTTCTGGAGGGCATCATTTCTGGACTCATCATTTCTGACTGTACCCTTGGTGCTCAGGACCTGTCCATGGGAGGTGCCAAAAAATATTTATTGACCAAATGAATGCATGCATGAATGAGTGAATGAAGGCAATTCCTCCGTCTTTTTGTGGGCTCCTCTTCGTCTGCTCACCCTTCAATGAGGACATTCTCCAAGATTTCATGCTTAGTTGCTTTTTCTTTTCATTCTGTACTTTTGTCTTGGATGACCTCTCTTCCCTTCGCCTCAGGTAACATTCAGGTGAAAATGAGCCCCAACTTTTCAACTCTACCACATCTATTTTTCACATCTGTATTTCCACTGCTTTCAGTTGGACCCATGCTCACCCCATATTCAACTTGTCAAAAACCTCATCCTTTTCTTCCCCATCCTTCTTCCTCTTAAGAGCTCCAGCTCCATTGATAATACCACCATCTCCTCAACATCTGGATTGAAGCTCAGAGGACCCTTTTACTCTCCTCCTGCCCTCCCTGATTCCTGTCTACTGAGCACAGCCATACACTGGAATTTCATCCTTTCTATCAATTCCATTCCCACTACCCCTGTGTCACTTCTCACCAAGATCATCACCAAACCCTGGGAAGCTTCCTTGCTTTGAATCTGCACTTCCCGTGGCTGCTGGCTTTCCTAAACCACAGAACTCCTCATTGTCCCATCATGCTCAAAAACACTTTCTGTTTCTCATTGCCTCCAGAATAAAGCCCAGGCACACAGGCTCTTCGCTGTCTCGTTTGATCTGTCTTTCCTGCTTCATCCCCCTTCCCCCTTCCCCCTAGCCCCCACTCTGCCATCTTCAATCTGTCTGTCTCTATTATCTCCATCTCCATCCCCATCTCCCGCTTCATCTCTGTCTCTAAGGAGCCTCGCCAGGTTTCTGCAGCCAACACTCCCTTCATGCTGCCTCCGTGACCACTGACATTTCTTACCCACCCGGATGCCATCTCTCACTGCTCTCTTCTCAAACTGTTCCTCCTCCTCCAGGGCCTGTATCAAGTATTACCTCTTCTGAGAAGCCTTTTCCCAAAACTTCAGTCAGGATTAAGGGCACTCTCCTCTGTAGTCTGGTAGCATCTGACGGTGCTTCCAGGAGAGCGCAGCCCACAGTCGTCAGGTGCAGGTGGGTGGGCAGAGGGAGACAGTGAGGTGCTCCTGAAGAACCTGAGCACAGGGATAGGTTTCTCCTCTAGAATGAGCTCATAAAACAGTGTGTCATGGGAAAGAACAAAGTGTCTGCTAGCTCAAAGGAACAATGCCTTTTACTAGCAACAGCTGTAGCCTGTAGCCAATGACGTTAAGGAAGCTGCGAAAGGCTGTGTTAACAGAAGCAGGGCTGTTAGAGGAAGGCCAGAGTCAAAGAAGCACATTCTTGCATTTTCCAATCTTTTCCAGGGGAGGACTATGCTGATGGGGGTGCGGAGGTTGGATTTCAGGCACTGGAGTGGTGGTGTCCAACAAGGCACAGGGCTAGTTTCTCCTCTCGTCTCACCTTGACCTGAACAAACTACCCTGGGGGCCCTCTGCTGTCTAGTCATGCTCATCAGAAAGTCTCAGCATAAGTAGCCACACTTGAATGTGTGCTGTATCATGTACAAAGGGTGGCTCTCTAGAAATTGTTCTAGTCCCCAAAAGAACTATTCCACCCCACATGTTCATTTCTAGCCTATAAGTCAGTCTGTGGTTTGGGCATCTTCAGTCCATCACAAACTCTGTGGTCATGCCCAAGTCTAGTTTCTGGGCCTACAAGTCATGGAAATGCCCCTGGGAGGCAGCCGGCCAGCTGTCCCCCTCAGCAGCCAGGGATTGCCACCCTATTCAAGATGCTACAGCCAAGAATTACAGTTAACTGTGCTCGGCAGTGTCCTCCCACAAGACCAGAGGTTGGCAGACTTTTTCTGTAGAGGGCCATCCAGGCAAATATTTTAGGTTTTGTGGGTGATAAAGTCTCTATCTACTTAACTTTGCCCTTATAGTGGGTGCTCAGCAGCCATAGACAATATGTAAACAAACAAGTGTGTCTGGATTCCAGTAAAACATTATTTACAAAAATACACCTATTTTTATAGCCAGATTGGCCCATAACCCATAGTTTGGCAAACCCTGCAGCAGGTCGTGACTTCTTGACAGTAGTGACTGTGTATTTCCTCCTTGGATCCACTCATATATGCCTAGGGCATATACCTCCTCACTGTGTCTGTAGAATTGGACTGAATGTGTGTATTTCCTCCTTGGATCCACTCATATATACCTAGGGCATATTACATCCTCACTGTGTCTGTAGCATCGGACTGAATGTGTGTATTTCCTCCTTGGATCCATTCATATATGACTAGGGCATATTACATCCTCACTGTGTTTGCAGAATTGGACTGAATGCTTTTCTCCTAAATGGCCCACAGGCCTTTGCATAGTAGCGATCACAGTGAACAGAGAATCATCCCATCTGAAGGAACCTTAGAGGTACCCTCCTTGTCAGCAAAGAGATCCTTCTATAGTATCCTTGACTCATGACATCTAGTTAGCATCCTTCTGCGATGCCTCTGCCTTTGTGTGATCATCCGTACACTCGCCTGATAGCTGTTGGGGACTGTTAGCATGTCCAACCCACATGTGATGAACTGGAAGAATGATCCATCCCTCTTGTGTTGACTGCCTTCCAAGAGCTACTCAGTAAATACTTGCTATACAACTGATATGCTAGTAAACTAATTTTGTGAGCCAATTTTGGCAGAAGTTGTTTGTTTTCTGCAGAAATTTTAAGCAACCAAAATAAGGATCTGAAGCAGATAAAACATATTATCCACTTAAAGCAAATAGTGGACCCTTCAGTGGCTGCAAACTCAGCTGTGATAGCACCTGCCTTCTGCCGGCTGGGATGCAGGCTGCAGCCTTGCCCAAGAGTCAGTGGGCAAATGGTGCTCCTCCCAGCTTGGCTACTCAGACCCAGGGATCTCACAGAAGCCTGGCAAAGCTGACAGCTCTCAGGGGGCCTGTGTGGGTTCTTTCCAGTGCACACATTCGCTTTGGAGCAAGCCTCAGCATGTGGACTGGGGAGACAGACTCCTTTTGGACAGGGAGCTCCTGAAGAACAGAGACTGAGAATTAATTATATTTGAATCCTAAGCAGATAAAAGAATTCTGAGGACATGGCAGGTGCTCAACAAAATTCCCATGTGTTGCTTCAAGGAGCATTTCTTTTTTTTCTTTTCAATGAGACAGAGTCTCACTCTGTCACCCAGGCTGGAGTATAGTGACTCAATCTCCACTCACTGCAGCCTCCACCTCCTGGGTTCAAATGATTTTTCTGCCTCAGCCTCCCAAGTAGTTGGGACTACAGGTGCGTGCCACCATGGCCAGTTAATTTTTATATTTTTAGTAGAGACAGAGTTTCGCCATAGCCAGGCTGGTCTCAAACTCCTGACCTCAGGTGATCCACCCGCCTCGGCCTTGCAAAGTGCTGGGATTACAGGCGTGAGCCACCGTCCCCGGCCTTTGGGGAGCATTTCTGTATCCCTGTTACCTGATGCCTCTCACCTGAGTCTGGCCTTGGCAGAGCCACCCTAACAGGGGCTGTGCTTGATCCCAGAATGTCTTCCTCATAATACCAATTCTGCACTTTTCTATAACACTTTAAAATTTGCAAAGTGCTTTCACATGGCCTTTCTCTTTCTCTTTTTAAATTCACACTGAAATCCTATCGAGGACAACTATTTCACATGTCCCCAGGCCTCACCAATTTGTGAGGTCCCATTGCAATGAAGCCTCCATCTGTAGATCTACGAGTCCTCAATAACCCTGGTCCCCCCACACCCTCATCACTTGCAGTCTCCTTTATTGCCTTCTAGGTGTCCTAGAAGCTGTCTCAGATTGGCCCATGAATAGGTACATACACCCCTCTACTCTCTGGGTCCTCAAAGTTGCTCACTCATGGCATTCAAGCCATTTGAGAGCAGCACTTTGCCGCTGGTGTTTGCCCTGAGCCCTTAGGATGCAACAGATTTTTGGTGGAATGAGCAACAGTGGCTCTGCTCCATCTTCAGGTGAGACTTTTGTCACCTAGACTACTACTTTTTTTTTTTTTTTTGAGATGGAGTTTCACTCTTGTTGCCCAGGCTGAAGTGCAATAGCACAATCTTGGCTCACCGCAACCTCCGCCTCCTGGGTTCAAACGATTCTCCTGACTCAGCCTCCTGAGTAGCTGGGATTACAGGCATGCACCACCACGCCTGGCTAATTTTGTATTTTTAATAGAGATGGGGTTTCTCCATGTTGGTCAGGCTGGTCTCGAACTCCCAACCTCAGATGATCCACCTGCTTCAGCCTCCCAAAGTGCAGGGATTACAGGAGTGAGTCACTGTGCTCAGCTAATTTTGTATCTTTAGTAGAGACAGGGTTTCTCCATGTTGGTCAGGCTGGTCTCGAACTCCCGACCTCAGGTGATCCGCCTGCCTCAGCCTCCCAAAGTACAGGGATTACAAGTGTGAAATACCATGCCCAGCCACCTAGGCTTCAAGGCTATGCTGTCCTCCAAACCCCACTCCATTAGGCCAGAGGTGGGGGAGTCAGGAACAGGGAAACTTATGCCCAGGATGAGGGCCAAGGCATGGGACACAGTTGTCATGCCACCCTTCCATTTTCCTCCTGTCATCTCTTGGCTCACTACATTTAAAAACACCTATTATAAAAACTCCCCTTTCTCCTCCAGTGAAAAAAGAAAATTCCTCATACATATTATCACATTCACACAAATGGCTTGAGAGAAGGGTCACTTGTGCACACATCTAATTTCTGCTAAGCTTCAGCCAGCCCTGCTATCTAGGCATTATCTTCCCATTTTATGGCTAATAAAACCGAGATTTACAGCTCATATAAATAAGTGAATAGGAGAAATGGGGCTTGACCTACTTGAAGCCCTCCTCCTTTCACTCTACCGCAACTAAACAACTTAACGGTCAGCCTCATCTCCTCATTGAACGAGATGTGGTCCATCTTCTATGTTTTAAAATGCCAAAGCAAAACTCTGGCCCGTTCCTGATTCCTCCTTCCTCCTCCCATGCATGGTTATTTGGCAGAGCCAAGAAGCAGAATGACAGTTCATTAGCTTCAAGAAAAAGTCACTGCAATAGGCCGTTAATGCAACAGAGTATTTTCTTTGTAAAAGTGATCTTGGCAGAAGCTGGTTGTTTGCTGTAGAAATATTAAGCAACTAAAATAAGGACCCTGATTGCATTTCCAAACAAGTAAAAGCTGCCTCTGTTTAGCTCATGCTTCTCTCTAAAAAGTGGAAATTTTTATATCAAAAGTAAGTCTCTGCATTGTTCCATCCTCCTCTCAATGTAACCCTTGCCCTTTGGAGCCTCCACCTAGTGCCAGACGGTAGACCGCTAAATAGAAAAAATAAATGTAAACCATTGGAAATAAAAAGTTCATCATTCAAAGCATTACATTCAAGCCATTGTCTCCAATGTTTGGGGTAACTCTCGTTTTTAGTTTAGGAAAGAAAATCTGAAACAGAACAATTACATCACAAATGGAACATTTATATAGTTACTGGGATAGAAAAATATTCAGTGAAGAGAAAGGCTGCATGATTTCAATGAGATCCAGGTGGAAGAGTCCTTTCAACAAATGTCTGCACACCAGCCCATAAAAGTGATGGAAAAGGCTTAAGACAAGAATAAAAGCAACAAAGTGCCAGGTGCTTATCCCCACCAAACCCACATCCTTTCTGAACTTGTCCTTTTCAGCCGCTCCTGCCTTCCACTTTCCTCTCTCCAAAGGGCTGGATTTCGTGCCTTCTGGGTTCTTTTACTCATTGTCCTCCTCTCCTGCCCTACCAGGCAACAGAAGTTGACTCCTGGTCCAGAGCTAGGGAGTGCAGCAGGGAGAATAAAATAACCAATACAACTAGTAATAGTAACAGCAGCAACTTGTGAAGCCCTGGCTGAGCACCAGGTGCAGGACTGGGTGCTGTCCGTGGATTATCGTGTTTCATTATGACACTTCTGTAGTGTGGGTTCTGTAATTGTCGCTGATATGGTTTGTCTGTGTCCCCACCCAAATCTCATCTTGAATTCCCATGTGTTGTGGGAGGGACCCAGTGGGAGGTAATTGAATCATGGGGGCAGGTCCTTCCCGTGCTGTTTTTGTCATAGTGGATAAGTCTCACAAGATCTGATGGCTTTAAAAAGAGGCATTCCCCTGCACAA